GGCATGGCCCGAACCGAGCCCAAACCGAGCCCAAACCGAACCCAAACCGAAACCGGGCCAGTCCCGTCCCGTCCCGTCCGGAATCCACATGCGTATAAAAATTCCACAGGATGTGTGAAGGGATGATGGGATTGTGGGCTGTATTTCTGTATTTCGGGGGAGAGTACAGCTATGTGGGGCATGACTGTCATTTGCTTTATGCACATGCCGAGGAAATATTCATGATTGCAGTTAACAAGGACAATAATGATTGATTTATGTGTGTGGCCTGCTGCCCGCTGCCGCTGCCCGCTGCCGGGCCATGGCCATTAGTGGCGGGGCAGTAGCCAGCCAGCAGCCAGCAGTGCGGGCTGCTCCAGGTTTAAGGCAGGTGTGTAGGCGGCTGATCCAGTTAACAGCCCTGGGATAAAAGTTGCTATGATTCCTGCTCGCAGTCCTCCCAATCCGGCATAAAACTTTGAGTGGCTCGTTAAAAGTGTAAGCCAACTAAGATGTGCCAAATGAACACTGCCGAGTGCCTGGCAGGGGGTTTCCGGCGAAAACATAACATTTAATTAGATTACGCATATGAGCGCGTAAAATGCCGCTGGAAACGAAACTCGTTTACATTTTGTACGAGTAAGAGTACAAGTATCTCTGGGTATCTCTGGGTATCTCTGGGTCTCTGGGTGTTAAGTTTATCAACCTTTATTGCCGCAAGTTTTGTTATTGCTTATGCAAATTAGTGGTTGGCTGAGGCTTGAGCTTGAGTCGCGTTAATTATACATGGATAGTCCTTGGAGGTTTTACTTAAATAGATCCCGTCTCTCTTTCGGTCTGACCCCCATTGACCTCTGCTCAGTGACCAGAAATCCGTCGATAAATATTCATTTATTTGATATTATCTTAATTATTCAAACACAAACGGTTTTCAATTATTAAATGAAAACCTTAGCTTTTTGGTTGTGGAATCGCTTCATAATTAAATCGGACCATGGCCGGAGCCCGATAAAATTGCGATGGCCATCAGGACAGGTGGAATAAAAGGCTCAAAAATAGCCCAAAATAAATATCCAGCGTAATGCAATTTTAATTGCACAGAATGTGTCGCTTAGTTGCTTCTCTGCCGTACGATACATATGTGTGTATATAAACAGGACTCATAATTTGCGGCAGGGGGAATGGAATCCTTTTTTGGGGCCTCGTCTGCCATGCCCTGCCCTGCCCCGGCCTGGTCTGGTCTGGCCTGCCATGTCGTTTGCCACAATCGATGTCGTTTATCTTCTGATTTGTTGCCAAACGAAGCAAAACAAATCACTTGCTCGAACGGCTGCTCCATCTAACAACTAAATTTCAGACATACCGTAGCGAGAAGGTCCTGCCAAAGAAGCTGCAGCCTGTACTCCTGGGTCCCTCTCCCATTCCTCTGGCGACGGGATTTCTCTACCGCTCCTGGGGCCTCGTTCCAGCTGCTGTTGCGAATGAATTGTAGCCATTTTTCAGACATCTTTGGCAGACTCGTGACGTCCGACGTTGCACGGCTCGGCACAGAAAACAAGCAGGAAAAAAGGAGAATATGGAACCCAGAGAGCTGGGAATTTGTGACGCCTTCGTCGTGTGTTAACAATGAAAGTATGCCGCATGCCATGTCCCGCCCATAAGACAGCGCCTTCCGCCAACAAAAGGTACAAATGTCGCCGGAACGGAATTTATTGGCGTGCATTAACCGACACAAGGACTCCACTCTCCGGGATATGCGCCATATATTAATATAAGAGCCTCGAATGTGTGTACACACACAGATACTGCCACAATTGTTTTGTCTTTCTGGCTCTCCGGCTCTCCGGCTAAAGTGCACATTTGTTGGCTTTCTTTATGCTCGCATGCCCCAGAAGTTAATCAGGATTTGTGGCCCATCCCCATCCCCTCCCACGAGCTCTGACTCTGATAAATTAATTTGTGCGTTGACTGGCTTGGCATTTTATTGAAATTTGCATAAACATAATTTCCGAAAGGTTGCCAGTAAATCCTCACAGAACAAACACTGCAAAATAAACTAACAATAGACGGTCCGAGGCACACACTTGATAAGAACAATAAGAGCCGAAGCAACATGCAGTATTGGGCCAAGAAAAACTCTATTATTTCAGTACATTAACTTTGGATTTATTGTTTATGGCAGCAGCAGGAGCGGTGGGGGCACAGACATGGGCAGTGGCAGTGGCATGGGCAGGGGCAGGGCTTCAAACGTCGATGGCCTCTAAGTGAAAGTTGGCGAACAAATATCGAGTGAAAAGTTGGCTAAAACTAACCGAAACCTTCTTCAAGCCAACTGAAACGTGACTCTCTTCAGGGAGGGCCTTGTCCTTGGACGGAGTTTGTCTGCCTCTAAGCATGCAACACTAATTGAAAGAGCTTTGTTTCACGTTTGCATACCGGCCTGTGTGTAACAGTATTTTGAGTGGGTGTGTGGGTGTATGGGTGTGGCGCAGCCACATCATGAGGCTGTCATAATGTGCATTTTAAATTACGTATGCACACGCGGCGTATGCGCAATATGACGAGCACCAGCCGCAAATTTCCTTGCCACATATGTGACACTGAGACGCTTCCCACCGTCTGCCCTGCTCCCCACCCCCCCCCCCCCTTTATTTTATAGAACGAGCCCCCACTTGGCCTTTGTTTTTGGCCAAGTTTATGTTTGAAAATATTCGCTGCCATTTTGCCGTTCTTTTCTTATGTTTCGTTCTGCCGCCCCAAGCTCGTAAATCTTTGAGGAAGTGAGCAAAAAGAAGAAGACAAAAAAAATGGAAAATTGCCCATTTTGTGTGTTGGTATGTGTGCGGGATGGCTGGTCATAAAATGGAAAAAGATCAATATAACATTTATTTATATTTTCGCTTGAGTGACCATAAAAATGCCAGCCCCCCACCCATACCACCACCCACACCCACACCCACACCCCATTCAAATGATCATTTCTGGCGGCGCTCTAATTAATATGTGGGTGGAAAGTCGCAAAAACGAAAAGGAAAAATACTTAGGCTGGAAATACTTCAAAGACCGCCCAGGGGATTTATGGCCTGCAGCCGGCAGGCCGGAAGTGTCACTTGGCAACTTTCCTCGGATTGTGTCGAGACAACCCAACTTCACAGCTCCAAAGGCCCCGAAGGCGTTGAACAAGCTCCAAGCACTTCAACTCCCTGCACCCTGCACCCTGCTCCCTGCGTCCTGCGTCCTGCGTCGTGCGTCCTGCGACTGTTTGTGTCTGTATTTATGTAGCGATAAAATTAAATTTATTTTAACGCCAGCCGAAGGTGCAGATGGGGAGTGCGGGGCGTGGCATGTGCGCACATAGTCAAACATTATCGCCAACTTGGTTGCAAGTTGGCGAAACTTCGATGCCGACCAGCGTTTGTCTATCCGTCCCCGTCCCCGTCCCCGTCTCCGTCCCCGTCCCCGTCCCTGGGCAGGAAATCGCTGGAATCGGTTGGCCCAAAGTCTGCCACAGGCGGAGACCAGGAAAAGCACCTGCGATAAAAGTTTCTGCGCCATTTTCCACTTTCCCCCCTAACGTTTCTGTATGTGTGTCGGTCTGTGTCTGTGTCTGCGTCTGTGTCTGTGTCTCTGGCTGTGTCTGAGTGTTGTTCGCTGGCATTTTTGGGCATACGCATGAGTCCTTCGCCACACCTAATGCAGACCATAAACAAGCCACCATTTGCAATGCCATTGCCAATGGTCCTGCCACGGGCTTAATCTGCTAACAGAAGTTAATATTGCCCTGCCGCAATGCAGTGGCAGGCGCACGGAGAGTGGTGCCGGCCCAAGTCCCCCCTTTTTCTGGCCACTCGGCAAATTCTCATTCTGGCAGACCGTAAACTCCAAAAGGGAAACTGCATGCAAATGCTGGCAGGAGATTGGATCTGGCATGAGAAATATTAATATAAATCCAAGCGGAGCTCCGTGGAGCTCTGCGGAGGGGGGAATCGGTATATAAGCAAAGGATAGCGATATCAGCTACAAAATTTAATCGGAAAATCGAATGGAATGCCGACTGCTGAATGCTGAAAATTAGCTAATAAAATCGTGTATTCAACTGAAAATATAGAGCACACATTGTATAGGTTAAAGGTCAACTCTCTTACACGATGGTCAAACTTTAACATTTAACAGTAGATATTGTCGCAGGGGATGCCGAGTTCTGAGTCTGAGAGCCTTCTTTTGGAGTCTCTGGATCTTCTCCCGACTACTGTGGCTAGCTGTGCCCCAAATGGAGTTCCCATAAGTCCATGGATTTGTGGATTAGGGGTTTGACGCGCAGCTTCAAGGTTGATTTATTGCCCAAGAGCCATAGGTATTTTGTTGGATTTGTGTGGCCTCCAGGTGAGTCTTCTGTCAAACCGCAGTGAGACTGGGGCCTTGTGGGGATGACTTATACAATACACATAATCGTGCCAATCGGCCTTCCAATGAGTTGGATTCTATGGAGTTTCTCCTATCTGCGGGTATTCAATTAGTTCAAGTGCTCTTGGAGCTTTTATTCGTTTTCCATTTAACCAAATAGTCACAAAATATGCCACTATCTTCCATGGCACACGTAATCTTATCTGATCAATGCGTTTAGATGTTTTACAAGAACCCGTTACCCGTTACCCGTTACCTGTAACCGAGAACCTGAACCACTCATAGATTGTGTAAGAGAGCAACGAGGCGGAAAAAAGCCCGAGCTTTGATTAGCTATCGGTAAAATAGGGGGTATTTTCGTAGGTAACTTTCGATGATTTATGCCAGCCCAAATCATATTAATTAATACTCTGGGTCTTCGGCGGGGGCGGGTCGAGCATATTGATTTGTGCCATTTCGATTGATGGGCGCCCCTGCGGATGGGTTTATGGTTATAGCTGTGGTGGGGCTACTGGATATGGTCATGGATACGCGATAAGCTGATAGGCAGGAGGCACTCTCCAGGGATCGTTATAAATAGGAGCCCATGGGTCGGCCGCCTCGTAGACAACTCGAGAATGGCGACGGATAAGTATGCGCCACCGGATCAGCATTCGTGCACAGCTCCGGACAGCAGCTGGCTGAGTCGAGGCCACAAGAACCAGCCGCAGTGGAATGCCCTCGGCGCGGTGTCGTTCATCCTGATTTCGGGGGGCATGAGCCTGGCCTGGGGAGCCGGCTTTGCCGTCCATTCCGCCCATCGCGAAGAGCTGCTGATGACGTCCCACATGGAGGTCTCGTGGTATGCGGCTGCCACCGTTGGGGCAGTACTCGGGGCACTCTGCACCCATCGCCTACCCCTGCAGCCCGTCTATGTGAGTAGATTGGAGCGGATCGAGTGGAGGGAGAAGGAGAATGGGAGTGAGAATGAGAACGAGAATGGGAGAGGAAATCATCTCTCTGACTTCGCAGATATTCGGATCCTGCCTGGTGCTGGTCTCGGGCATACTCTTCCTGGCCTGCCACGAGTGCCCGGCGGCCATCATCACAGCCCGCTACCTGGACGGACTGGCCAATGGGCTGGTGTTTGTCCCAGCCATGGCAACGGTGGGGGAGATCTCTGTGCGCGGCATGCGCGGACTGCTGGCCTCCACGGTGGAGCAGCTGAGCTGCAACACTGGCATCCTGATGCAGCTGCTGTACACGGCCGTGTGGCAGGTCGACTGGAACGTGACGATTGCGGCCGACCAGGTGCACGGAGTGCTCAGCATTGTCTACGGCGTGGTAGCCCTTGCTCTGGCCTCGACGCTGTGCGTAGAGTCTCCGGTCAACCTGCTGCTCCGCTCCGATGAGCAGCAGGCGGTGGCAGCTCTGCGGCACCTCCAACGACCCTACATGGTCACAAGTGAGACCCTGATCCAGCTGGACGAGCACAAGCACTATGTGGCCACCAATCGAGAGATGAGCTGGTGGCAGAGCGTCCGGATGGGACTGCCCCCGCTCCTCAAGCTACTGGCCCTTCGATCCCTCAATGCCCTCTGCCTGACGCTGGTCGTGTGGAGTGCCCTCTACGAGACGGCCGTCCAGGTGGCGACCCACTATCAGGCCTGGCCCTATGTGATATTCGGTGTGATGCGGTGGTGTGGCTGCTTCTGCGTGCTTCTCCTCGTGGACACCACAGGCCGCAAGAAGCCCACGTTGTTTGGCTGCTTTTCCTGCGGTTCCTTCGCCCTCGCCTTTGCCACCCTGTTTGGGCGCACTCCGCACATGATAACGGCCCTCGCACTGCTGTTCAGCCTGCAGTTCTTTGCTGGATTGGGGCAAACAGCGTCGGCGGTGTATCTCACGGAGGCCTTTCCCCTAGCCGTAAAGCCCCACTATGTGGCCGTGGTCTATGTCATAGAACTCTTCCTGCGACTCATCTTCTGCAGCTTCGCGCCTAGTCCTGCTGGAATTGTTGCCTACTTCTATGTCCTAGGAGGTCTTTCCATAGCATTTTTCTTCCTGGGCATCTTCTGCCTGCCGGAGACGAGGCTCACGACGCTATCGGAGGCCCAGCACAAGTTTAGCAAGTGGTTTAACAAGGATTTCTAGGATCTAACATATATACTTGCCAAAAAAAAATGTGGATTTGTTGGTTAAAGAAAATTCCAATAATGCTACAAAATAAATAATAATAATAAAAAATAAAATACTACTCCATAGTTTGGTAATAGTTTACAATTATGAATAAATAACATATGAAAATAATAATAATAATACAAATACAAATAATAAGGTCCCATATCCCTTGTGTAAATCACCCAATTGATTAGTTATAGAGTTACCCCGAACCAAATGATTCAGCTGCGATTGTGGATGGCAACAAAAACACAGCTGGGGAAGCACACGATCCGCATCTCGGACGGCCCACCACTTGACAGTGCCGATGGCTTCTCTCTAGCCATCAAAATAGGTGGCATTTGATAGGGGAAAATAGTACAGTACACCATAATTCACGAACATATCGGTAAGAGTGCTTATCGGCCGGCAGAATGGCAGAACGGTTCGGTCTCTAGTACCGTTTGGGTGTCTTATCAATGCCATTTGAACGATAAGCCCAGGTCCCTCCAACCGACCATCAGTTGGACCAGGCCCAGTCGCAAAAAGCCACAAAAATCACTTGCCCTGGCATTCGGTCAATCAGTTTCGAATCGAGCCCCAACACGGTCGGTTGTATCCTCGAAAAAGAAGCCGAGCCCCACCGAGGAACATAATGCAAAACGATAAGTTCGCGGCTCCGCCAGCAGGCTTTTCCTCGGCCCCGCCGGCAGGATACCCCCCACAGGAATACCCCCCACAGGGATACCCACAACAGGAATACCCACCACAGGGATACCCCCCACAGGGATACCCAGCACAGGGATACCCTCAACAGGGATACCCCCCGCAGGGATATCCCCAGCCCGGCTTCATACAGCAGGGAAACCCACCACAGTACTACGGTGCACCACCCGGACAGGGACCACCGCCACCGAACCATTACTATGGTTCAGTGCCGCCCCCGGCTCCAACTCTGCCACCACAGGACGCACCAGCTACTGTTGTGCGCCCCCAGGGCTGCTTCAGTCGCGGCCAAACGAACAAGCCCCAATCGAATGCTGTGGGAGCTGGTGAGTAGCTCTGGGAATTAGTCATCTGCTCTGCAATGGAAATCCGATAAGATAGCCTTGAATGGGGGGCGGGGCCTATATTCATGGAATTGATTAAGAACCAGTGACGTCATCAGGCCAGACAAATTATATCATTTTGATGGGTCTTAATAGATTCCCATCTCATAGTACCTTTTTGTACTAGATAGACATGAAATGTATGCAAAATTCTGTTCTTCCACTTTCAGCTGGTCTGATCTTTGTCTCGGGTGGAATGAACATTGCGTGGTCCATCGGGTTCCGTGGTGCTCTCTTCTACCATGCCACAACTCACGACTATATTGCCTGGTTCATTGCCGCCATTATTGGAGCAGTTATCAGCTGCTTAATCCCCAACAAGGTGCCCAGGAAGTATATCTTGGTAAGTGAATACAACGCCTGCCTCTTGCCAATCTGTCAATCTCCTTGATCCTTTCCACGTACAGCTAGTCGGGGCGCTTTTGGTGACGGTTGGAGGCATTGAGATGGCCGCCATTCGATCGAATGGCGGTGCAGTTCTAGCCGGCTCCTACCTGGATGGAATAGGCAATGGACTGGTGTTTGCTCCTTTCATGGCCCTGGCCGGTGAGGTGTCCGTTCCGTACATGCGCGGCCTGGTCACGGCGAGCCTCGAGCAGATGTGCTTCGGCATCGGCATCTTTCTGCAGATCATCTATACCAGCACATGGGCCTCATCTGGTTTCTACTATTCGTCCAGTGGCTTTTCGCCCGAGAATCTAAAGGGAATCCTGAGCGCCGTATATGGTGGGCTATCCCTACTCCTGGGCGCATTGCTGTGCATTGAATCGCCGGTCCAGATGCTGGCAAGGGGCGACGAGCCAGGCGCTATCGATACCCTCCGCCGGCTCCAGCGACCCTACACCCTCACGAACGCCACCTACGAACAGCTGGCTGAGCACAAGCGATATCTGGCCGAAAACCGGGACCTATCCACGTCCCAGAGCATTGTCCAGGCCCTGCCCGCCTTCCTCCGACTGACCTATTTGCGCGCCATGAATGCCCTCAGCATATCCAGCATTGTAGTCTTGGTCCTGATCATTGCCATCCTTGCGAACGGAGGATCGTCGACTGGCTGGCTGGTTGGGTTCGCCGTCTGCCGCTGGGCGGGCAACTTTATTTCCACCTTCATCATGGAGAGCGTGGGCCGCAAGAAGCCGCTTCTGCTGGGCTTGCTCGGCTGCAGCTGTCTCGGCTTTGCCATTGGTTCCAAGTACAGCTTCTACTATGGCATGGGCGGAATGGCCGTCATGATGCTGATATTCCAGGTCTTCGCCGGCCTCGCCTTCGTCTCCACCTCGCCCTACCTGTCGGAGGCCTATCCGCTGGCGGTCAAGCAGTACTTCATCGCGTTCACCTTCATCGCTGAGATGCTCGTCTTCATCATCGTCGGGTCGGCTCACTTTAATATCTACGATGGGGGCAACTACTTCTATGCCGTCGGTGGCATGTATCTGTTCGCCTTCCTGGCTGGCATTTTCTGCCTGCCAGAGACCCGATTGACCACGCTGCGCGGCGCTCAGCAGCAGTTCAGCGGATTCATCAATAGGAGTTTCTAACAGAAAACACACACAAGCTGTTTGCTTCTTGATGGGAGATACAGCCAGCGGTTTGCACGATCTTACCTTCGGTATTAGTCGAACCAAAGATAATAAATATTTATAGCCCCTCACGAGCGTACGAGTACTTGCAGCCTTGTGTTTTTTTTTGTGTGTTTTTTGTGGTTGGCTATCGCAAAACAGATAACATTTCTGGACTGTCAAAACATAGAATTGGACTGTCACAAATGTCATTAATTTGTTGGGTGTGAATTGTGTATTTGCCTCTCTTTTTTTTGTACATGTCCATAGAGTGCGACAAGGAAATTTGTAAAAAATTTGTACCTGGAAAAGAGAACTGGGAAAACCAAAGCAAACTGCAACACATGCTTCGGTCTCACCCTCGCGCCACGCCGCTCCGCTCCGCTTCGAGCCGAATGCAAACAATCAGCGATAGGAAAATCGCGCTCTGATAGCGATATCAACCACAGCTAACAATCCGAAATTCGAAGCGCTTACTTATCAATCGGTAGACGATAAGATTAGTGTGTCATCGATGGTTAAACCAGACGGAAACAAGCTCAACATACCCACCTGGTAGAACTCGACCCCGGAGCACATAGTCTTGTGCGGACGCGCGGCCACAGCGGTCGACACCATCGTCATGCAGACAGAGAGACCACCGCCAGCAAGTGGCTTTCTGCCCATACCCACGGCCCATAGTCCGGAGGTAAAGCGGGAAGTGATCCAGCAGGCAGGACAGGGAACCTGCTGCAACCAGGATCGGCGCAATCAACCACAGGCGAATGCCATTGGAGCTGGTAATCTTACGACTTACGTTACGAATAGTTAAACAGCAAGCATAGGCCTTGGCCACCAGTGTGAATCATCTGTGAGTCAGGGTTCAACAGAATGAATACGAGTACTGTGGGTGAAGAGGGACTACTTACCTTAAATGCTAGAAACTCTACAGCACTTTCCACACCCTTTTAGGCCATGAACTAGTATAGCCACAAGTAACAATACACACGTGCTTATTATTCTATATCGGAAGCTGATTGTTTGTATATATATATACATTATTTTGCAGCTGCCTTGATCTTCCTCTCTGGCGGACTGCACATCGCCTGGAGCATTGGATTCGACAGTCTATTGGAGCTGGAGGTCAGTTCGCACCTGCGCATCAGTTGGTTCATTGCGGCCATTGTCGGAGCAATGGTGGGTGGCTTCTTTAGCCGCCGATTCACCTACAAGCAGCTCATGGTATGTTAAGAACGATATTCCAGAAGAAAACGCTTACCATTACCAAACGATTCCATTCGCCACACAGCAAACGTGCGCAATGCTTACGGTCATTGGAGGAACTGTGATGGGGGCCAGGCGGTTCAATGTCAGGGCCATGCTCGTGGCGAGGTACTTGAACGGATTCGGCAATGGTCTGGCCCTCGCTCCCACACTGGCCATGGCCGGGGAGCTGTCCGTGTACTACAAGCGAGGAACAACGGCCTCGGCCGGCGAGCAATGGCCCACCACTTTGGGGATCTTTGTGCAGATCGTGTGCAGCGCCAGCTGGGACACGGAGAGCGAGTTCACGGTGGAGCAGTTCCAGGGCGTACTCAGCGCCATCCTGGGCGTGATTGCCATATGCATGGCCTGGCTGCTGACAATCGAATCGCCCGTGGATCTGCTGGGCCGGGGTGACGACCAGGGAGCCATCGATGCTTTGAGCCGTCTACATCGTCCCAGAGCCGTCACCGCTGAAACCTATGATCAGATGGACAATCATCACACCTATCTGACCCACAACCAGCCGATGCGAGGGCTAAGAGCCTGGACGGAGGCCCTGCCCGCCCTGCTGCACCTCTGCCTGATGCGGGGACTGTACGCCATTAGCTCCAGCATGCTGGTAGCCTTCACCCTGAGCTGCACAAGCACCATTGTATATCCCGGTAGCTCGGGGCCCTTTGTGCTCTTCGGCATCCTGCGACTGGTGGGCAGCTTCACGAGCGCCTTCGCCTTGGACACGCTTGGCCGCAAGATCCCCTTGCTGCTGGGCCTGGTAATGGCTGGTGGACTGGCGGTCGGAGTGGCCAGTAGGTTTGTGGGGAGCGAGCTGGTGCGGGTCAAGGACATGAGGATGGCCCTCTGGCTGCTGCTCCTGTACCAGCTGTTTGCGGGCTTTGGCTTTGGCCCGAGCTCGGCCTACCTATCGGAGGCCTTTCCTCGGAGTGTGAAGCGGCAGTGCATTGCCCTGGCCTACGTGGCGGAGATGATCATCCAGCTGGGCATTTGTCGCATCGATCTCAGCAGGCACATCGACAGCATTGACAATATCGCTGCCTTTTTCTTCAGCCTTGCTGCTCTGCTGCTGGCGGAGTTTCTGTGCAGCATCTGGTGCATGCCAGAGACCAAGCTGACGACTCTGCTACAGGCGCAGATAAAGTTCCGGAACTTTGTGGTCTCGCAAGCCTGAAAGTAGGCTACTCTCACACATCACACAATAAGACTACCTACCGCCCACCCCCTAGATATAGCTGTGAATAAATCTGTAATCTATATAGTAAGAACCAGCTGTCGGTCCACACTTGTTCTTGTCTTATCGCCAGCATGAGCTCGCTCGCTCGCTCCCTCGCTCCCTCTCTCCTGCCGACATTCTGTCGATCAGCATGAAGAGCTAATTTTAATTTGATTTCGGGGATCCCACTTGTCAGATAAGCGCAGCGTAGGCAAACGTTTATCTGTGAACTCCAATTAAGTCGGCTATCATATATCTTAGATAAGATTTGGGCTCGTAAAGAAATGTTTGGCTGCAATTTAGATTGAAAACTAAGACTGTCTACCCTCTGGCATTACCGTCATCAATTATAATCATTCTACAATCAAAGTTCTCCTAGCAGCTTTAATAGGCTAATATTTACACATGTATAAGCTCACAAAAGTAATTCACAAGAGCGTCAATCAGGTCAACAAATCACTTCTCAGCTTCACCAGAAGTATCTGTAGGATTGAGGGGAGAATTTAGAATATCGATTATCATTTCTCTGCCTCACCATTTGGGGCGCCAGCACCAGGCTGACCTCGTTTCAGTGCAAAATCTAAGAATATTTCCTCCAGTCTCGTCTGTATTATTAAATAGTCCTCTATGTATAGTTTTTCTCTATTATTTTCGATCAGTCGAAATAGGTTCGACCACATTAATTTCTTCAGGGGAATATAGTACGTGAGCATCCCACTGCAGGTTTCCTTGAGAACTGCGTCTGGTATCTCTTTTGAAATAAAGCTTTTTAGTTTTAAAATTCGATGGGGCGCATCTGTTTCTTTGATTATGCTAATTTCATCGCTTCTTTTATTATTGCTGTTCGCTATTTCCCGTGCTTCATCGCTTCCATTTGCTGATAGCTCTGAGCTGGACGAGCTTCTGTTGGAAAGCTTCACCTTAATCTTCAGTATGAGTCCCTTTGAGTATCTATTCTTTAGGTTTTGTACAGATCCTATGCACTTAAATTGTCCATCCACCATAATGGCTAGGCGCGTGCACAGCGTTTCGCACTCATCCATACTGTGCGATGTCAATACAATGGACTTTCCCGATGTCCGTATATGCGCTAGTCTCCTCCATATCTGTCGCCGAGCTGCAGGGTCCATGCCACTGGTCGGCTCATCCAAGTACAATATTGAAGGATTTCCAATGATCGATATTGCAGCACTTAGTTTCCGCTTATTGCCTCCGCTGTAGTGTTTGGCTAATTTGTCTATGTGCTCATGGAAGCCGAAGTACACCGCGAGGGACGAACAGATATCTCGCACATGCCGGCGTTGAACGCCTTGCAGTAAGCAATAAATACGCAGTGTCTGGCGGCCGGTCAAATCATCAAACAATGCATCGAACTGCGGACAATAGCCGATTTTTTCGTAGACCCTATGCAATTTTGTGCACAAGTTTCTGCCTTCTACGAAAGCCCTTCCCGCAGTTATTCGCGCATCGCCTGTGAGCATCCGAAATGTTGTGGTCTTTCCAGCACCGTTGATTCCCAGCAGTCCAAAACATTCGGCGTGTGTCACATAGAACGAGAGATCCTTTACAACGAAGTACTTTCCATAGCGCTTGCTAATGCCATCCACCAGAAGAGGCATCTTTTTCCGCTGGGAGAGTGTCATGTTTTTAATAAAGAAATTCTCCTTCTTGACATCCTCGTTATCGAAATTGGATTGGTCTTTCGTTCGTCGACGTTTTCCAATCGAACACAACAATTTAAAGGGCGCACAGCCAGCCCCACAAGTACACATCTTGGCATCAACAATCATAAGTAACAACAGTAGAAACGTAGCTACCGCAGATAGATATGCGATCTCCGGCAGCACTCCGGGGTGGCGCCAACCAAAGTACCCGGAAATATTGCAGCACACTGGAACAGTGCGACAGCGGACGGTTCTCGGTAGCTTACGAACCGCAGCAAAGTTGCATCCACGCCGAATATTAAATCCAATATGAATGTGATGAACAGCACTCGCCAAGCAGTAGTGGGGGAAAACTCTGAAGTACCAGGCCAGTTGGACGGCTATGTGCTTCAGTTGAAATGCCTCAAATGATAGGGCCAGAACTAGCATGAACAAGCCGGTGCCAGTGAGGGTGGTGGCGATGACGGTCCGTGTGAAGCCCGTAGCTCCATCGGAGAAAAAACTGGACAAGGTGTAGCTGAGAGGCAGTGCTGCTAGGCCAAATAATAACAGAACGCAATAGTATAGGCTCAAATCGGAAACTGTTGAATATCCAGGCTCTTGAAAAGCGGCTATTGTGACGATGGCCATTAGAGCAGAAACAGCGAATATGGCGTAGTCCCACAGCAACTGGCTGATCCAGTAGGCAAACGCATCCACGCCACTCAGGAATTGCATTAGCTTGGCTCGCGTCTCCCGCTCTTTTATTATCGGAATCACGTAAAGGGCAGTGATGATGCTCATGCATAGACCCAGGTTTATGGCTATTTCGGCACCCAACCGCTGTCCTTTGTTCAGACGCAGGGTCAGTGTTTGATTGTTGTAGGGCAACGGGGCATTGGTTACCCCTGTTTTAGCCTGCTTTCCAAGGAGCTCAACTGCAATCGCATTGTGCAGTAAATTGAGCGTTAATGGCGCCGTATGCAAAGGCTTATTATTTAGCCAGACGGTCAGGCCTTCGTTTCCGATGGTCACCCCTGCCAAGTACTGGAAATCGACTCGACGCATCTGGTTCTTTCCAACTCCCAAAATGTACTCTTCAACGCTTGCACCGCTGGTATTTATCAACTTGTATCCCAGGCCGTAAGTGGACAGGTGCTCCGCATAGGTGGAGGCCAACGATGGCACTAACGATGGTTTATTCGCTTCGCCATGAAATACAACGTAGGCCTTGGGATACTGATGGAGTGAAATTTTCATTTCAGGCAGCTCATAGTAAATACGACCGCCTTTTGAATTCAGTATGGTTAGGGACATGATTAGTACGGGGAGAAACACTTGCATTAGCACTATCCAGTAGTTACGTTTAGTGATTAGGGCCTTTTTCAAAAGGAGTGCCTGCCAGCGCATACAGCAGCGAGTGTGCCAGCGCTCTTCTTTCATTTCCATATCAGAAAACAAGCCATCGAATCCCTCCTCCTTTTGTGGCTGAGCAGCAGGGTCGGAGTCTTCTGCCTGTGGACGCTCCGATATGTTGCTGACTCGCATGAACACGTCTTCTAAAGTGGTTACACTCACGCCATATCCATCCAGTTTTAATTGGTTCGACTGCTGCTCTAGAGCATTCAACAAATCTGGGTATTTTTTTGAGTATTTGCTGGGCAAAAGATACGCTATTTCGGTCCCAAACTCGCTTTCTAGCTCAACGGTTGGCAAATGTTTATTCAGCAGCTGTGTGACCTCTACAACGTTGCAACTCTGTTGCTTCACACAGATTAGCCGGTATCCGATGCCGTAACGTTTCTTGAGAAAAAATGATGTGCCGTAACACTCTAGCTTACCGTCGCAAAGAATGGCAATACGATCTCCCAGCACATCCGCCTCGTCCATATAATGTGTGGTCAGCAGTACAGTGCGACCAATCTTTTCGGCCTGCAGGAGCTCCCAAAGACTCCGACGTCCGGCTGCATCGACGCCAGCACTGGCCTCGTCGCACAGCACTATGCTTGTGTTGCCGCAGAGCGCACAGCACAGAGACAGTTTCCGCTTCATGCCACCGGACAGCTTATCGGCGGCAATGCGTGACTTGTCCTCCAACTCCATTAATCGCATGTACTTGCTTACTTCCCAATTAACGGCAGTAGATCCGCGCACACCTTTCAGTTTGCTGAAAAACTTAATGTGGTCCCGCACAGTCATGTTGTTGAAGAGTATATTTTGCTGCGGGCATATGCCCAATGATCTGCGTGCGGATGCCAGTTGGTGGCGAATGTCATAGCCGTTTAGGAATGCTGTTCCATCCGATGGTTGAATTATCCCAGTAAGCATGTGGATTGTTGTAGTTTTTCCCGCACCATTCTGCCCAAGTAATACTGTAATTTCATTCCGATACATTTTCAGATTTAATCCTTTGACAGCTTTATGTTTCCCGTAGTTTTTCTGGAGGTTGCACAGCTGAATTCCAATATATTTACTTCTCCTACTCAAACTGGTTGGACTTAAAGGTAAAAGTCTTGTATTATCCGAGTGACCCAGAAGTTCGGACCAAAACTTTCGCCGAAAGGGATAATACCATCGACGACCTACCCCAGAGTCTCCAGCGTATATTTGTTCCACATATAGGCAAACTGTCAGATAGATTAGCCCGCCAAGTGTAAGCATAAAAACCACATAAATCAGCGATAGACTGTCATCCAAAGAGACAGGCTGGAACATATTATTCCAGCGAGCTCCCTCCCCAGTGCCTTCCCAGGCCATTATCACATGGAAACCGAATCCCAAAGCTGTATTTGACATCAAGAGGCATAGTATAAGCTTCGTCGCCAGGTTCAAGCGTTCATAGTAGTAGAACGAAAACGAATAAGGTATATAGGTAAGGAACCACAAAATACTGGTAGCTGCTGCCGATGTACTGGCCTTGGAAATGAAAACAGCAATCATAAAACAGAAGCATATGCTCGCAAACACATATGTGTGAAGGAACACCAGCAGGGGAATCCAATGAGAATATGTAAGAATGGCGACTGATTTGTAATACCTTCCAAGAAGCAGGCACATCAGAAGTAGCACCACCACCATGAGCATGACATAACTTTTGACAAACCATGCTAGCCAATGAATCCAGTTGTGGACGCCCATCAGTTTCATGATATCCTTCAGCTGAAGTTCCTTCTCGTTGGTCACTTGCTTCGCCACAAACGAGCAGGGATAAATGAAGCTCAGCAGAATAATAAAGGACAACAGCTGTTGCAGGCCACTCAAGAGCGGATCGTGGATGTACGATCTGTAAGGAAACCTCTGAAGTTGTATTTGCGGCAGCTCGTCCTCCTTTCGGCCAGTGCTCAGTTGCAGCCACGACATTGTTAGCGCATGCTGCAGTGGTAGGAACCCCTCCACGATATATCCA